GTGAAATTGATACATTACCTTGTGCATCTCCACCAGTTACAGATACCACCCCTGGATGGAGGAAGAGTACTTCCAGAGAAGATGCCACATCTACCTATGAGACAGATAAGGCAAGTCAAGACGATACCACACTCCGGTACTTAGAAGTTTCGTGGCTTACGAGATCATTCTCCCACAATATTTCCTAATGTCATTTGTACTAAATCATTCACTTGTACTCACTAAAGGAGAGCTTGAACCTATGTACTTGTGTAAACCCTTCACAATTAATGAGAACTCCTCTATTCTGTGGACGTAGCCAATCTGGGTGAACCACGTACATCTTGTGTTTGCTTTGTGTAAACCCTTCACAATTAATGAGAACTCCTCTATTCCGTGGACGTAGCCAATCTGGGTGAACCACGTACATCTTGTGTTTGCTTTCCTATCTCTATCCATTTATATACTTATCCACACTAATGACCGGAGCAATCTAGCGAAGATCACAAAAAGTGACCGTTTTCGCTACCTAGGATCTATCTTGCAAGAGAGAACGGAGAATTAGATGGAGATCTCAACCATAGAATACAAGCTGGATGGATGAAGTGTAAGAGTGCATCCGGCGTGTTGTGTGACCGTCGTAGGCCACTGAAGCTCAAGGGAAAATTTTATAGGACGGCAATAAGGCCAGCGATGTTGTATGGCACAGAATGTTGGGCAGGTGAAGCATCAACGTACACAAAATGGGTGTAGCGGAGATGAGGATGCTTCGTGGGATGTATGGGCACACGAGAAAGGATAAGATTGGGAATGAGGTTATCCGAGGTAAAGTAGGAGTAGCCAAAATTGAAGGAAATATGAGAGAAAATCGGTTCCGGTGGTTTGGACATGTGCAAAGAAGGCCTACTGACGCTCCGGTTCGAAAATGTGACTACGGGACAGAGGTTCAGGGCCGAAGGGGTAGAGGAAGACCTAGGAAAACTTTGGAAGAGACCCTAAGAAAAGACTTGAGTACTTGGATCTAACGGAGGACATGACACAAAACCGAGCGCAATGGCGTTCTAGGATTCATATAGCCGACCCCACTTAGTGGGAAAAGGCTTTGTTGTTGTTGTTGTATATAGGATCAAGGAGTGTAGCTGTAAAAACATTATCAATATCGGAGTTAAAATAACCGTTAAATCGTGATTTTTCGTTTATAGCCGTCGAAAATGTTTGTCTCGTTACTTCATATCTGAATGTTTGGTTTTTGCAATTTTTTGCCGTATGCGATCTCGAAGCATATACAAATAAGTTTGACGATTGGATCGTTGAAATTAGTTTTGTAGAATGCGTATTGTGAAATCCAGTTCCTGGTTTTCATTATTGCAAACTACGTATATGTATTAAGGAGTTATTATATATATATATATATTTTTTTTTGGAATTTATACTAATGGTAGAGTGTTGAGATTGTGTATTCAAAAGATATGAAGGTGAAAATGCTACAATTAAAAAGTTGCCTTTAAATTAATTAAGGAAATTTTTTTTTTAAGAAAAAGCCACGGGGAGTGGCTGGAGGAGGAAGAAGAAAAGGAAATGAGGTGCGGAAGAGAAAGGAGGGAGGAGGGGGAAGAATCAGAAGAGGAGAGAGAGGAAGGAAGTGACGAATCAGAGGGGGAGGAAAGGATGGGAAAGGAGGGGAAAGAAAGGCACCCAACCCGGATCACATTTTCGACCTGATTCCTAACCAGACTTCGATCCCGGTCCCGGTCCCTTTTCATTTTACGACGCAATTTTGGCCCTTTTTCCTGCAAATTGCGTCCATTTATCACCACCATTCATCATCCCGGACCTTCCTCTTCATTTTACACTAAAGATTGACTGGGTTTAGGGCTTTTATCACGAAGAACGAAACCGTGGGTTTCGGGGACACCACAGCGGTGAATCCGCCATTTTTGCAATGATTTATTTCGATTTCCACCAGTAATGTACTTATCTGGAGCTTAGGAACAATGACCAATTATTGGTTGGAGCGTCGGAGTCGATTTGAGGACGAATCAAGACACACCCATTCTAGGGTTTCCCGCGGATTTGAGTGAAATTAGAGTTTTTCCCGACCAAATTGGACTTGGCCATAGGTATAAAGTTTGCTCTTCTCTTATAGATCTTCATTTCTGTAATTTTTGATAATTTTTAAAAATAGTTGAATTTTTCCGATAAGTCGGGGCGGCCGACCGCCATCCACGGCAGCAGCCTGGCCAATGGGCTGACGATGTTCTTTTAAGTTCAAATAAATGTCTTGATTTCATAATTGATATCCGTATGATGTAATTTGATTGTTTGGACTTAGTTTCATTACGATACCTTACTTGGTCAAAATATGAATCAACGATTCGACCGTTGGATCATCACCAAACCTTAATGCGTGACAGAACATAATATTTGTGCATCATAGAAACTTATGGATCAGGAATCCGACGTACGGATCTTTCCTATTTGGATTTCTAAGTTGGTAAAATAAATTGTTGACCGCCACTTAATTCTAGTAATTAGTGGAGATCCGACCGTTGGATCGCGATGGGAATTTAGTATGTTGTTCTAAAAGCATAATGTGGACTTTGGGAAATTATGGATCCGAAATCCAATGTGTGGATCTTCCGGATTGAATTGTGTAGAATTGTGGACCCTACCTTTGACCGAGAGTTGACTTTTGGTCAACATGTCTCGAAACGTTCCCAATACTTAAATTAGTACCACGGGAGACTTAAGTGAAGTCTAGTGGACCTACATTGGTTGGAGAGTGACTTGAATATTGTGATATGGTTATTACCTTAATTTCTTATATTAATATCATTTATAAATGTGCATTGGACTTATAAATATGATTTGTATTGAAATGTGATTTTCATATATTTAGCCATAGGCTTATGTTTGTTCAACATGATTTGGCTTGTGTATTGATGATAATGATGATATATGGATGTTTAATTATTTCTAGTAATGTGAATGATAAGTATGATAAATTTATGGCTATGTGATCTTAGAATCCTATTTGAAATATTCTGTAGAACTTATACATTTGTGTGATATATTAGTTGGTGGCCATGAGAAGTTGATGGTGTAGGAGACTATGTTGTAATTCATTGGGATTAGTGTGATATGAAGAAATGTGAGTGACTTTAATGTATGTTATATTGGTGATTACCCATGTTTTCATAATTATTATCCTGTGAGGATATGTCTTGGTTTTATAAATATGTTTCTTTTTATTGAATTGTTATTTTTAATACTTAGCCATCAATTTATGTTGAAGAAGTGAGATTTGAAGTATATAATTGAAATATGGGTTGATTTGTATGATTGGTATGTTTTGATGAAATGTACGGCTAGGAGTGGACCATTAACCATTGTGATGGGGATTTGTTGTTTCGATATTGTTTCATTTCCGCTTCGTTTATTAGTTCTAAATTTAGTAATTGTGCCTAAGTTCCCTTGGTTGAGCTTTGGTAAATTAAGTAGCATGTGCTTGTCTCATATCTTTGAGCCGTCGTACATTATGGTGTTGGCCTTCCGCGATTTTGTTGAGTGATGGTCCGAAATCGTATCCAGTCGGATTCCGTTGAGTGATGGTCTGGAATCCCTTCTACTCCACGATTTCGTTGAGTGATGGTCCGAAATTGTATCCTGGGTTGGATATCGTTGAGTGGTCCGATATCCCATTCTTCAGAGAAGTAGGTTTGGCTTAACTGTGTCACTCTAGCCTTTGTTTTAGTATATTGTGAATAATGGTTTTGAGAATATTGTGAATTGAATTATAAAAGCAGTTGTACGTCCGTAAGATTCCTTCGAGATTTTCTACGATTCAAATATGGTTTCATAGTTTATGAATTTAGAAAATATGGGAATGATTGTTATTATGTTGACCATATTAGGTAATTAATGTGGTTAGAGAATGGTTTTGTGCGTTGTCGGTTCTTAAATATGATGTATGTTGTGAATTGAGATATCATGTTGAGTCCTAATGATTTATATGAAGGATGGAAAGGAAATCATGATTTTTTTTCATGTGGGTTTGTTATGTTACCTTGAGTCTAGGAATTTTATGCTTGACAAGTTCTATTGATTGATGTGATAATTGGATGGTGTTGGAACGCTTATGGGTGGATGAATGACGAGATGACTAAAAATTATTATTGGGCTTTGTTAAATGCTCCTTGAGGTGCTACATGATTGAATTGTGGTATTATGTTGAGACATAGTGGTCTATGTGTTGATTGTTTGATTGAAGTAGAATAATGAACTACGAATGGCTTGATCCCTATTGAGGGTATGTAGGCAGTCTAACGAGGAGGTTAGATGCAGCCATAAAATATACAAAAATTTCTATGAGATTTGGATCTTGAATTATGCTATGTACATATCTCGGAGGTGGGGTAGGTTGAGATACGAGTATTTGGTGACGTCATGTGTCGATCCTGGACGTATGTCGGGATCGGGGCGTGACACGTACCCTATCAAACAATAGCACTAACATTTAAGAGTTTATTTATACTTTCATTAAATATAACATAAGATTTTGTGGTATCTACTAGTGTAAATATTTTAAATTGACGATCGAGTTCATTCATTGTATTCATTTAGGGTCAAGGAATGTAACTGTAAAAAATCATCAAATTTGGAGTTAAAATAACCGTTAAATCGTGATTTTTCGTTTATAACCGTCAAAATGTTTTTTCTCGTTACTTGAGCTCTGAATGTTTTTTTTTTTTTTTTGTGATTTTTAGTGTATGCAATCTTGAAACATATACAAACAAGTTTGACGATTGGATTATTGAAATTAGTTTTGTAGAATTTTATAATAATTTTTTTTAAAAATATATATAACTTGCACGACGCCTAAATGGGATCGTTGTGCAAAACCACTTTGCGCGATGTCATAATGTATACCTGCGTTGCACAATGTGTTAAAAATTTGGCGGTAGTTTTGTAAAAATTAGGCGCTTTTTTTTTATTTTCCCAAATTTGAACAAATGGGAGTGTAAAAATTTGGTCTCTCTTCCCCCTCTCTCGCTCCATCTCTCACATCTCGCGTAGCAGCCTGAGCCCTGAGCCTTGAGCCTTGAGCCTCATCTCTCTCTCGGTCTTCAATCACTCTCTCAAACTCTCTGTCTCTCATTCCCAACACCATCTCTCGATTTCTCTCTATTTCTGCCTTCATCCAAAAAAAAAATTCACACGCCTCCACCTCGGCCAAGCTCGCGCCGCCGTCAATTTCGATGTCCTCTTCAGGTTCGCACATTCAATCTCATTATTTGCATATTTAATTTAATAATTGTGGTCAGATCCATGGTTGAAAAGGATGGGTCTGCAAAGGGAATTGTTTTCAGCCAGTTCACATCGTTCTTGGATATTTAAAGGGTACACGGTGGACTGGCAAGTGCTGGTACGTCTACAACCTCCTCAAGTACAAGTTCGATCTCCAGTTCAATATCCCCATCACCTACCCCGCCACCGCACCGGAACTCGAGCTCCCTCAGCTAGACAGCAAGACCCAAAAGGTCGGCCTTACTTTGATTTTACGATTTTCCCTCTTCCCCCATTTTTGTTTTCTGATTGTAATTTAAGTCCGTTAATTTCTGGGTAATTTTGGATTGGTTCAGATGTATAGAGGGGGGATCTGCTTGACAGTGCATTTCAAGCCGTTTTGACCCAAGAACTGGTGATTTTTCTATCTTGCTGTCTTTAATTTGTTGTATGTGTTGAATTATTGTGAATTTTTTATCTGTTTGGACACTGAGAAATTATAAGAAATGAAAGGAAAGTTGTTTTTTTTTTTTTTTTTTTAATTTTTTGTTGGGAAATTTGTAATATTTGGGCTTACTTGAGATTTCGAAATCAGCTGTGAACTCGGCTCTTAATTTGCTTTAGAAGATATGACATAACAGAACAATAAAAACTCAAATGTTGTTGCAACTGACAAAGAAAACTCGAAATTTGTTTGGCTTTATGATTATTTGCTTCGAGTAGAAAATTAGGATGCATGGTTTGTATATTTCAATATGTTAGTCTTCTGTTTTTGAAACCAATTTATGTATTTAGATTAAGTATCTTTGCCTCTGTGAAAGGAATTTCTTTTCGCATAACATGACTTACCTTGCATTTTCTTTGTGGAAGAATTATGTTTGTATTCTCTTCTGTGGATGGAAAATAATTTGTGTAAAATTTGCGCAACACATTTTCTTTTTCCTTAAATTTGAATTGTAGTGAGAAACATCCGTCTGTGGAACTTTTGCTTTTCATGGCATTCACATGGTAATTGATGACCATGAAAGTGTTAGTCTTCCTTTAATCTCCAACAAAGAACGTACTCTAATCTCTTCTGGAAAGCATTAATGCAAACAAACAACGTGCTGATTTGTTTAATTAAACATGTTTGGAGTTATCGGCTAGTAGTACTTATGATCTTTCTCATGTTAATTATGCAGTCCAAGATTTGGTATGGCACATGCACTTTGTTTGGGTCTTGCACCATGGCTTGCTGCATTCATGCTTATAAGATAGCACATGGTTTTTCTTTTTTATATGAAGTTTATGAAAAGAGGATTGTGGCTGAAGCTGGATGCTTCACAATATCGTAAGAAATAATGTTTTAGCATAAATTTTCTACGGTTTTGCATCTCAGTTATTAATATTAGAACAGAAAAAAGAAATTGGGCTTCCAATTGCTGGTTTTAACTAGTTAAAGGTCAAGAATCATGTAGTTTTGTTGCCTAATGACCAATTTTAGATATCTTCAAATTTGCACTGTCTCCAACGACCCTTCTCAGTTAATATTTGACATACATATGCACATATACACCATACAGAGGGACATAGTCCGACTCTCAGAAACTTTGTTCGAGTATTAAGCTCTAGTGAGAAGGCACAGGATACAGTTTCCATAGCATAATCAAAATTTCGAGGTTTTGATTTAGAGGCAATATATGCATCAACGTTAAGGCTTATGTGATCAGTTAATATCATTGAATGTTAAGGCTTATGTGATTAGTTAATATCTTTGAATGTTGAGGCTTATGTGATCAATTAATTTCTTTGAATTTCATCATATCTTGATTATTCTAAGCCTTCTTCAGTTGAATACTTGAATAAGATATGTGGATTAAACTTTGAAGGTTGACATTTTCCAGAGGGACTTCATCCTTGATCCTTATTAACTGAGAAAGGATAAGGTGAAGGGTGCTAACCTCAAGTGGCTTTACCCACATTTGTCTGTCATACCAGCCACTCTCTTCGTAAGGTATAATGGCTGATAGTAGCTTATCACCAGCATAACTCCATCCCTGCAGTACGGTAATTATATGATTTACTTGCTTTAAAGATTCTACAATGAGAGACGTTCTACTAACAAATATTAAGCATGAAAATTGCTTGAATGTGCTTGTTTTTCTTTCTTATTGCTTACAATACTATTGTTTAATGTCTCAATATGAAATTTCAAGTTTTGCATTTGTTTTCGTGCAGTCCATACATACTGGGGAACCTGTAGTAATATATGTTCTCTAGTATTCGGGGCTGGTAGAATTGAATCCATGGCTGTTTAGCAAGTTCATAATCTATTATGTGTTTATCTTTTCTCAAAGGACCCCCCTTAATATAATTTTTCAAGAGTTCTACCTATACAAGTACAAATTTTTTTTCTTGATCCATATGCTTATGTCCGTGCAAATAGAGAGAGGCAAAAATTGCTGAGGCTCAAGCATTAGGGGTAGTAGTTCGCTCTCGAGGTCCTTTGTTTGGAGGTGTTAAAAAAATGTGAAGGCTTCAAGTGACAATGTCCTTGTTTGTTGGAGGTCTCTGGATAGTTTGATATTTCTTTGTATATCTCATTGTTTTATTGTTTGCTTTAGAAGATTACTTGTTTTTTCTTTTTTGTTCGGACATCTTGTATGTACATTTTCATATATTTTATAATTAAATATTTTTGCTTGGTTAATTAATTATTGTTTAGAATTTAATTACAATATTTATCAAAAATTAAAAAATATATATAATTTTGACCAAAACGAAAAAAAAAAGAGTTTGCGCGACGCAAGTCCTACGTCGCACAATATTTATCAAAAATTTTGACCAAAACAAAAAAAGGGGTTTGCACGATACATGACTACGTCGTGCAAAGCGGCTTTGTGCGACGCATGTCCTACATCGTGCAAAGTGACTTTGCACAACAAGTAACATGCGTCGTGCAAAGTGGCTTTGCACGACATAGCCATGCGTTGCGCAAAGTGACTTTGCACGACGCAGGACATGTGTCGCGCAAAGCCACTTTGCACGACGCATGTTACTTGTTCGTCGTGCAAACCCTACCGTCACTGCCTTAGCGTGACGGTTAGCGCGAGACGAAGGTTGCGTTGCGCAAACCCTTAGGCAACGATTTTTGACTTTGCGCGACGAAGGTACGTACGTCGTGCAAAGTGTTTTTTCTACTAGTGATGTAATGGGACTACTAGGGTTCAGCCTTTTTTTTTATTTTTATTTTTTTTATTTTTTTTTTTTATGACCACAGGTAGAAATTCAGCCTTTTCATCTTATATTTCCTTGTAAGCCTAGATGGTAGGGCAGTTTTGGAATGTTAAAGTAAAAGTAAGAGTTTATTCATTTCCCGTTCTATCAACTTGGGTATTTTGTAGAAATCAACGAGGCATAGATTTTCTTTGTTCTTGATTATTCTCGTATGTGAGAATCTGTTAGGACCCTAGTCATTGTGTTTATATTTTTATGGTAGTTTATCTTATCTTAGCAGTAGTTGGTTTCATCCAACAGTAATGAGGGTGGACATGTGTTTCCATCTAGGCACTCTACTAGGGTTGTATATAAGCCTCTTTTCACCATTTGGGAAGGGCATGAATGAAAAAACTTGTTATTTTATTTCTTACTTTCCTTGCATTTTCCTTTCTCCATTCCTCTGGAATGGGTCCTATCATTTGGTATCCAGAGCCCAGGTGTGTTTCCATGGGCAAGCGGCCGGCATCGGTGCCCGTGGCCGACGTTTCGAAGGCGGTACACGACCGGCGGTTTCCGCAACAACAAATCATCACTCAACTCCAGAACTTCCGTGACAAGGTCACGATGATGAACCACCAACTCACCGATCTGCAACACTTTCTCGCAGATCTGGCCATCCTCAGTGCTCGGCAGGAGCAATTCCAACAGACTTGTCTTGAAGAGCTCCGTTCTCTAAAAACCCAACCCACCACCCTCCCTCAGCCTACATGGAGTACGTCTCCGCCACAGCCCATCGCTACTTTCCACCCGTCGAGGACCCCTTTCGCTGCTGGTCCTTCGTCCCCCTCTCCTACCACGCCGCCATTCCACTCCTCTTCCCATCCCGTTTATCTTTTCCCCACCTCCTGATATTTACCCCAGTCCTCCAGCGGCTCTGTTTTCCATCCATTTGACTCTGACCCACATTCCTTCCACCACTACCCGCCCCCTTCCCCAACCCACGACCCCCATTTCACCCACGCCTACTCAACCCCTCCCCATTCGCCCATGACCATTCCAGCTTCAGACTTACCGGGGCCAACGACTTCCACACTCGCCGTCCTGGAGTTCACAACGGCATCGCTCGAGCCGACTCTTCATCCCATGAGTCTGGACAAGCAGGTTCAGCGGGTTACGGAATCCGTGTCTTCTCTGTGTGTTTGCCAAGACAGGTTGCAAACTCAGCCTACGGAAGGTGAAGATGGGATAGAGTCTCAATTGGAGGGTTTGGATTCAACGCTTGGATTGAACCCTTCCCGTGCACTTGAATCGACGCTGTCAAACCCTTACCCGAGGCCGCTCATATACTCGCAGCCACTTACCTCCATTCCGCATTTGGAGTCAGTTACGAAGGCTCCTTGCTCATTCTCTGCCGTTTCGATTCCCTCACTTTCGCCAGAAATTGGGTCTTCGCCCACAATGTCCCTGGGCACTCGTCAACCTGCACCACCAAATGTCACTGTGTCAATGTTTGGCTCTCCTTCATTGCCCTTTGCCTATACTATTCTGCCTTCTCATGGGCCGTCGTTGATCCCGAATTCCACCAACTCCACCAATGCACTACCCCATTTGAGTGGTTACAACGACTTTTAGACAAAGGTGTACAAAGTATGGGGTTCTCGCTCACACACTCAGACTCCAATTTGCAACTTATGCGCCTTCATCAGCTCCATTTCCTTGACACTACAGAACCTGGACCTGGGATATTTAATTCCTTGAATGATTGTTCGGGTAATTGGAGGGTTTTATTTTGTTAGCTCCCATGTGATGTGTTTTTTAATGATTCCAGTAGGTGGTTTTGTAAGTACCTTGTGGACACATTCGAGAAAGGTATTTTGAATGCAGCTGAACTGTTTGATGCAATGTCTAAGAGATGGAGTAATGGCAATATGGGTACTCTATTTGATTTCATATATCACCTAGGACGCGATTTGGATGCTTTGGTTATCAATCTATATGTTGATTTCTCTCTGTTGTTCACTAGTAACCTTGACTTTCGGCCTCTATGGGATCCGGGCAATGCTGTAACTAACACTATCGAGTTGATGCGCTGTTTTATGTGCCAAGAAAACCATTTCGATGTGCACCCTCAGTTTTTGGTTCTGCAGCTAGACCTCATAAATCCTGCAATGCATTCTACTTGTCTACAACCACAGATGCTTGCCACAGGAATAGGAATTATTCAACATAAATCTCGGCTTTTGCACCTAACTGTCCAATCGCAATACATGCGGTACTGTTTTTGTTCCAATCTTTTAATGGATTATGTTGTTTGTATGACTGAAATGCACGGTTTCTTTCATGATTGGGAGTTGTGCATTTATGAGCATGAACCATGTCATATTTCTGTTGTTGGAGTTTGTCAGTTTGCAGCCACCCATATTATTCCTCCACTTCAGCGACTTGTTGGTCTTGTTCTTATTACTGATCCCATGGTTATACTGACTGCTTTTGGCAAGCATTTTCATGGTGAGAAGTCCGTAGTTGAGTGCCCTGCTACATATCTGGTTGCTGTTATAGCTTCTCTGTTTGTGTCTCATAACACTCTTTCTCAGTTAGTTGCGAGAGACTACAAAACCCTTGACCGTTTAAACGCAAATGGGTTATTGCCTTTACACGATTTAATTGAGCTGGCTTCTACTGACTTTGGCCTCAATGCAAGTGAGATGATTTCTGTTGTATACTTGGAGGGCTTACTTGGTCATGCTCAGGAGAGCATTGGTTTGCCAGTGTGGAGCAATGATGGATCGCATGGTCTTGCAGGCAAAATTCAAATTTTGGGCACTGCAAGTATGATAGAAGAACCTGAAATGATTTTTATGGAGCCAATCGAGCAAGACCAAACCAGCAAGAATTTTAGTGATCCTCAGTTTCAGGAAGGGGGCAGTTTTTCTGCCAAATGTACCTCAAAATGCGAATACCAAGGACAATGGAGACTTTACTTGCTCGACAACAAGGAAATGAAACAAACTTGAGAACACAATAAACCCTTATTGTTGTTGTCTCTTACAGATGAGAATACCAAGGACAATGGAAATCTATGCTCTATTGATTCCTACGAAATACCCAGGTTACTTTTACTTTAACACTAAAAACCTACCCTGCCATCTAGGCTTACAAGGAAATATAAGATGAAAAGGCTGAACCCCAATAACCCCATGACATTAAGCCTAGTCCAATACAAGATTACTCTAGGTAATAAAGCCAAACCCAAGATTACTTCTAATACAATGCATCAATACTTATTTAGATATTTAATGCATAGATGAATGCAACCTATCCCAATACATCTGCATCATTTAGCATGTTCAGCTTCTTGAGAGATTAAAATATTTTGGAACTACAACATTCATTAACTAATTTTTTATATTCATTAAGGATAAATAAATCAATATTAATTTATTAAGTACACATTAAGTAATAACCTCCTAATGTTATAAAATTAGTTTGGTCTCAACTTTATTACTTTATAGAGGTTTTGTATTATTATGGCCGGTCCATGGGATTTTTATAGGGTCATGCAAATTCTTTTGAGGCCTTATTGCTGTAGGCCTAATTTACTGGACAATATAACAGACATAGTGAGGGGGTGCGGCACAGAGAAATATGAGAGAAATGTATATTTGTGAGTTGTGTGTTATCTCAACATATTGTGCCTTTATTTATAGTAGTAGGAAACGTAAATTCTTTACCCAATAAGATTACAACTCTAATAGGATAATATCTAGTCTAAAAGATATGGTAGAATCCCATAAGGATATCCCAGATATGATAGGATTTACACAATCACATTCATAATCTAATAGGACTGCAACACTCTCCTTGAGTGTGTTAATACTCAAGCAAATGGTGTATCAAGTCTTCAACGATGAAGTAAGTTGAGTTGAAGAAGTTGTCGGCACAACGAGCGAATGCGAGTCTCAAATCAACAGAAGAATGCATAAAAGTTAAAACTCACAAAACCTCGCTACAGTAAAACCCAAGGTGGTATAAAAACCCATAGACTAAAGAGAAAAGTGAGAAGTTGCGTTAAGTCAAAATTATAAGTCTTTTGAACACAAATAAAAGAACTCATAAGGGTATGACCAACCCAGGATGGGTGCCTTTTCAAAACCTAGTTACGTAGCAAAAACCCGGTGGGAAAAATGCGCATAATTGTAAGGAAAAATAGTACATTAAGATCCTAGATACTCTCCTTGAGTTTGATAAAACTTACAAATGCGAACTACAAACATTGCATATGAATAGTTAGGCATACCAATTCCTCGGACAAGTTTCTAGAAGGTTGACTTCAGTAGTGACGCCGTGAAGAGGTTGGAAAGGTTGTCTGGGATCGACTTGCTTGACTTCCATCTCTTGATGATTTACTGATGTGATGTAGACGCAATATGTCTTGGCCTTGACTTTGTTGATGTGTTATATTTTGGTCGGGTTGATACATGCGACATAGTC